GCCCCGGCGGCGCCGCCGCCCTCGCCGCTCTCTTCGGCCTCCGGCTCCGCGTTCGCCATGGCGGCCGAGGAGGGGACTCGAACCCGTGGCACCCAGACGCCGAGCAGCGGCGGCAGCAATACGCGTCACCTGGGAAAGGGGCGGGCTACGGGAGCCCCGCGGGACAAAACAGCTCGGAAGGCGACCGCGCCCGCCTACTGGGACCGCAGGCGCGCTGGGGGCTCCTGCCCCGCTTCTGAGAGCCGGGCTTTCGTCTACGCCTTAGACTCTAAGGGACCCACCTTCTTTTCCGTCCGCCCGTCACGGGCGCGTTTAACTCTCGGATGTCACCTCCTGCAGCCGCCGTCCCGGATCTACCAGGCGATGGCTTCCAGAGGCCCCGGACCTCGCACCTATCCCACGTCCCCATTGTCCTCAGCGTCTTCAGTCACCTGTGCATCCTGTGATTCGCGGTCCCACCGGATCTTGGATCGAACCCGCAGGGGGTTGCTAGAGCTCGTAGCAAATTACTACCACGTGGCTTAAAGCAATAGAAATGTATTTCCTTATAACCGCAAATAATTTATAAATGTCTCAGAATCTGTAATTTATAGAACAATTTTATAATTTATAAATAAATGTAAACTATCAATATATAGACACAGGTAAATACATATAAATGCAGTTTCATCAAATGCCAGTTTATAAAAACGAATGCTCTAATAATTCAGTGATGTGTATTTATTCTCTAGAAAGAGGCCGCAAGCCGGAGTCAATGCTCGAAGGGAGAATTCATTTCATTTTTTCTCCTCGATTTTGCTGGTCTGCAGCCATCTTGGCTTGACAATACGTCCACCCCATCTCTGTCTTGTGGTCACATAGCAGTCTCTCTGTGTATCTCTTTGCCTTTTTTTGTAAGCATCCCAGTCATGAAATCAGGCCCACCCTATGAACACCTTTTCCAGCCTCCTTCCTGAGGCTGGGTAGTGTAGTGGGCTATCTGTTAGGCTGCTAGGGGAAAGGTCATCAGTTCAAAACCATCAGCCTCTCCAAGAGAGAACTTGGAAAACCACCAGCTGTGGTTTCCTCCCACCAGGGAGAAAGAAGATTTACAACAACAACAAAAAATAGATGTATGGCCTTGGAAATCTATAAGGGCAGTCCGGTAGGATCCCTATGAGATGAACTTGGCTCAATGGCAGTGAGTTGGACTGTTGTTTGTTTTGGTTTTCTGTGTACTGTAATGAAACCACATAACACAACACAGACTCACATGCCAACGCCTCCATACACAAGTCAGTGGGCAGATGCCGTTTTTCAGGGCGTGCCATCATTGTGAGCTGGCATTGGCTTGAGGGCAGTGAGTTTGTTTCTTTTTTTTGTCCACCATTGATGCAAACCAAGCCTCCCTCTTTCCCCCCTCCCTCCTGCTAGTAACCACATGCACTCTTTGGTTCCTATATAGCTACAATGTTTGTCCTTTGATGACTGACCATGATGGCATGTATCTGGACTTCAATCCTCTTTATGGTTGAGTAGGACCTCAACTTGATTAGCGTGATTACAGCTTCTTCCCCTCATCTTAATGTGATTATATCTCCAAGGCCTATCTACAAATAAGGCCACACAGGGGTCAGGACTTGAACATACAGTGTGGAGGAGGATACACTGTAACCCATAGCAGGACCCATGTGTGAAATGGGTATTTTAACACCCCTAAGATTGTTTCAGATCACCCACCCCAGACCTGCACTATCCGTGCCCGGTCATCCAGACTGTGGGCAAGGATGATGTACGAGGGAGCTTCAAAAATTTTGGGGGTGGGGCATGGGACCAAGGTCAATTGGCATAGCAAGTTTCTACATCCTATTTTGGTGCGTAGTGACTGGGGTCTAAAAAAACTCTTGAGTAGCCATCTAAAGTGTCGAGGTGACGAAAATCAAAGACCCATGGAAGCAATGAATCCAGTGGACTGACAGACCATGTGAGCACCAGTCTCTACAACTCTGAGACCAGAAGAACTAGATGGTGCCCAGCTACCACTACCAACTGTTCTGCAAAAGATCACTTTAGAAGGTTCTGTACACAGCAGGAGAAAAATGTGGAACGAATCTCAAAAACATAAACGAGACCAGGTTTACTAGTCAGATAGAGACAGGTGAGCTGTCCTTACTTATCCTTCTAGAATCAAACTCACCTCCATGGCTTATTTTTCAGGCAAACAGACAGATCTATAAGGGAAACAGCACCAGGGAGATTTACTTTAGAAGAATCGGCCATTTGAGATCCAAAGGGTAGCATTTAACCAAGGACAGAGTTCAGAGGGGTTTCGAAAAAGGGAGGGATAGAACCAGGAGACACAGGGAGGAAATAGGACGCATGATGTTACAGTAAGGTGACCAGACATCCCGCTTTTGGCGGGACAGTCCCGATTTTTAACAATTTTTCCCGCGTCCCATGGCATTTTTAAAAAGTCCCGATTTTTGGAAAGAATGCACGACAAGCTAGGGGATACGGTTTTCGGCTGCCATGTGGCTATTTTGCCAGGATATGAGTTTTATCAATGGTGTCCCGCTTTGCCAATGTTAAAATCTGGTCACCTTATGTCACAGTGACATGAAACAAAATGTGTGTGAATTGTTGGATGGAAAACTGATAATCTACTCTAAACCCTCATGCAATTCACAGTTTTTTAAAAGCCCTTTTAAGAAGACGGCGCCGAAGGCAAAGAAGGAACCCCTGTCCCTCTCAAAACCAGAGTAAAGGTAGAAGGCCATGCTGAAAGGCCAGCCCTCTGGTGGCCCCAGACCCTGAGCCTAGGAGGGCAGCCCAAAGGCCCTTGAAGAAGGCCCCTAGCGCCATCATCGAGTGCCCCTGACCACGGAGTCTGCCATGAAGAAGATCAGTGACAACAACACTCTTGTGTTCATGGTCAAGGGCAACCAGCCCCAGATCAGACAGGCTGTGAGGAAGCTCTAGGACATTGATGTAGCCAAGGCTAGCACCTTGATGAGGCCTGATGGCGAGAAAGTGCATGTTCCACTGGCTCCTGACTGAGGCTTTCCATGTTGTCAACAGAATCGGAATCAGCTAAACTGAGTCCAGCTGGCTAATGCTAATGATAAACTTTTTCCATACATAATAAAAGATAATGGAATCTTTTTTCTATGACATAATTGAATTCCCTTCATATTACTATACTCATTTCATGCCTGGCACAGGCCCTGGTCCAGAGTGCTCGCTCAGAGCATGGCTAGAAGAACGAATGAACAAGTGGACCACCCCATGCCCTCTCCACATTTCAACCAGCTACACAGCCCCAGCTTGAACCCAGCTTTCCAAATGCCCCTTCTTGTTTGCCCTCCTGACCCCGGGTGTTTTTCCTATCTTGTCTTGTAGTTGCCTGGGTGGGCCTCAGCTCCCTTCTCCCAGGAGGGTGGCAAAGCCACACAGATCCACTCTTCCCAAGCTCCCAGCCACTCCCTGCCTCTGCCCCCAAGCAGTCCAGATGAGAAGAGGAAGGAGGAAGGTGGCACTTGCAGAACTGCATGTTGGAGGTCAGGCTGGCTCCGGAAGTCCTTCTGGTCCTTGTTCTCCACTGAGCCTTGCCACCAGGATTATTCCAGGTATCAGCAACTCCAGGTTCTGCACCCAATTACCTCTGCTCACACAAAACAGCACTCTCAGGGGCCTTTATCGAGCCCTGGTGACGTAGTGGTTACCGGGTGATCAGCTGTGACCCGAAAGGTCTGCAGTTTGAAACCACCAGCCACTCCGAGTGAGACGGACAGGGCTTTCCACTCCTGTGAAGAGTTACAGTCACAGTCTCAGATACTCAGAGGGGTAGTTCTACCCTGTCCTATCGGGTCACTATTTGGGGTGGCATCGTGGCAGTTCGAAACCACCTCGGGAGAAAAAAGGGTTGTACTCCCCTAAAGAGTTATAGTCCTAGAAATGCCCTGGGACAGTTCTCCCCTGTCCTATGGAGGGACATTAAGTGAGTTTTGGGTTTGGTTTGGTTTGGTTTGGTTTGGAGGGGGGTGCTGCATACTGAGCACTTGCCAACAGTTTTGCCCCTGTCATGTGTGAACTTGAACTCCTGCTTAGTGAAGTCAGGCTTTGGCACACACTCAGGAAAAGAATGGATGAGTAGATGTCCTCACTGGAGCTTTCCCCACAATGGCCAGGGCCTCTCCCAGAGCCTGATCGACAGCGGCCGTTAACTCTAGAGAACGGACTTTAGTGAAACGTAACAAGCCAGGCAACTAGGCTTGGAAACTCAAACCACAAATGAGTCCTTTCTCCAACAGCTTTCTGGCTTCACAGTCCTGAGCTAAGAGGAAGCCATGCACGTGGCTATGATGCTGCAGGTACGCCATCTGCATTTCTAATTCCAGCAGGGTCACCCACGGTGGATAAGTTTCAGGGGAGCGCCCAGATTGAGATGGGGAAGAAAGAGCTGGTGCTGTACTTCTGAACATCGGGCAGTGAAAACCCTGTGGAACACAACAGAGCATGGCCCAGGGTAGTGCTGCGAGATGAGTCCCTGGACTGGAAGGACCTCACATGGGTAGTGGCCAAAACAGTGGACCAAGGCAAACCAACCAACCATCAGCCGATGATGGCTCTGGACCAGGCCGTGTTCATGCTGTTGTTCGCAGGGCCGCCACTAGTAGGAGCCCGCTCCGCAGCAATGACCGAAGCTCTCTGGAAAGTGGAAAAGAAGGCCGGGCAAGCTCTCCAGCCGTTTGCAGGAGCAGAGCAGCCTGATTGGAACAGAAGACCCTTGCTGGCTTGTCACTGACCCTGTGGGTGGGCGTTTGCTTGGTTTAGCTCCCTGCCGGGCACGGGGAGTGAGGCTCTTCATAAATATCTGCAGAACGAATTCATTCCAGACAATGCTCAACACCAAGAAACCTCGTCGGGGCGGGTGGGGCACGCGTGGAAACCGGGCCTTTGCTTTCAGAAAGCATCTTGTTTTGAGTGGAAGCTCCCAACACCCTGCGGCCTCAGGCAACGCCACGAGGTTTTGTCTGCAGCGGTTCGGAGGGCCCGCGTTCCTTTAAAAGCACTTATTCGT